AGGCAACGATATTTTCCAAATATCACAATCATATTCAAATCACATAGCATTGATACAGACATTAAGTTGAAACCAAGGGATTCAACAAGCATCACTTTATCCATGTGCTGATCCTTTCAGATTGCAACTCTACCAAGACCCAATACCTTACTTTTACCAGTGTTAGCAAATGTGATATGACTCTTATCAGACGGTCGAAGAGTTGAATCCATCAGAAGACTTCGATCACCAGTCATGTGGTTGGTGCAGCCACTATCCATAATCCATTCTGAAGCATGAGGTGTCATAGCGTACAATACAGTTTGGGGGATAGGCTTCACCAAGCGAGTTGTGAAGCATAAAAATTTGACGAACAAGTGGAACATAGAAGTTCAGCTCTTGGTTAGGATAGATAGTATGAGTGTAAAGGAATCCCTGGACGAAATACATAGTAAGACCATTTGGGCATTTTATCTTGTGCCCCACAAGATGTTTAAGGTCCCCAGCATAAGCATCACACGCCTTAGATTTTCGGCTGGAGACCCTTTCCCTGCAAGAGAGAGTTAAGTTTTCTTAACCACCCACATTTTCAAGGGTGGCTTAGAAGCAATGAGTCTAAGTGCAGCATCTGAGAACTTCAGCTTTGAAGCCCTAGCAAATAGCCTTGCAAGAGGAGAATAATACTCATAGGAATAACCAGAAAAGTTCTTAGATTTATGAACATAGCGGTTTGATGAAACACGCTCATATTCAAAGGTCTGAGTATGATTTCCCAGCAAAACATTGGCGTTAGGGTGACTCAGGTGAGTCCTCTGTTTGTATGAAGCCTTTGGACCATATGAAGCTTTTGGTCTGGGGTTTGTCTTCTTCACAGGTGGTGTCATAACGACATTCACGGGGAGACTCTCAAGACACCTTTTGGGCACCCAGATCTTATTCAGAGGTGGTCCATACCTGCAGTTAGTACCAATATACCTGGCAAACACTTCACCATTCTGATTCCTGAACAGTTTATAGTTTGCATCAAAGGATTCATCAATGATAATTGGGTTAGCACTAGTGAAGCCAGATAAGGTAGATGGATCTACTGAAGGTCCCTTAGCAGCAACCCATGTGGTTTTGGGGTACTGCTCAGGCATCCAGTAAGAACCATCAACATTCATTTTCCTCTCGAACCCAACACCCTCTTTCCTAGGGTTTCGGTTCAGAATCTGCTTTTAAGGACATCACATAGTGTCTGATGCCCTTTGAGACTTTTGTACATTCCTGTCTCAAGTAATGACTTCAACCTGACATTCTCATCAACAATAGTAGTGGTATCCTTAGATGAGGGGTTAGTTACCACATCAGTAGTTGAAGATATTGCAACAGTAGTAGCAGTTGAACATTCAGCAACAAAGATAGCATTATCACGCTCAATACATTTTAGACATGGTGGTTCAAATCCTTCCTGAGCGGAACTGATCTGTTGAGCGCGGAGTGACTCATTTTCCTTTTGAAAATCTTCATGAGCCGATCTCAATTTCTCAAGTTCCTGCTTCCTTTAAAGATAATCATAGGAAAGCTTTTCATGAGAGGTTGAGAGCGATTCATGACGACTTTCAAGTTCATCATACTTAACATGAAGATTTTTTATGTCTTCAATTAAGGACTAAGATCGGGTCATTTCTGCGTCCAACAGGTCATCCTTTTGTCTAACAGTTTTTGAATATGTTCCATGGCATTCTGTTGTTCAGTTGCAATTTTAGCAAGGGTTTTGTAGCTAGGTTTAGATTCACATTCAGAGTCATCTTCACTTGATGTCTGAAAGTAAGCATCGCGTGAGTTTACCTTGGCACCACGTGCCATGAAGCAGTAGTTTTGATCCGATGGCTCGGGTTCAAAAGTCATCGTTTTAAGAGATTCTTTGAACTCGCAGAACCATGGGTCTTGACGAGTTCGATGACCTTCATAGACATCAGAAATCCGGTCCCAGATAAGCTTCGCATTACAAAGATGCTTGACGCACCTGAACTCGTCAATGGATAGACATGAGCATATAATATCCTTAGCCGTGATATCCAGACGAGTGTAATTTTGAATGTCGTCAGCATTCGCCATCTTGCATAAAACTGTGAGACCAATTTCCGTGACAGTCCACAGTTCACTGTTCATGGCGAGAAGGCGCTTCTTCATCATTACTTTCCATTTGGGATAATCTCAACCATTGAAGACAGGGTACGTAGCGGAGACTTTGATTATCCCTGCAGTCGACATAGCTAAACTCCAGGTGGTTAAACCGAATCACACAGAACAAGGGAGCACCTAGCTCTGATACCAATTGAAAGTGCTAGTATTCGACTAGAGGAGGGTGAATAGGCGATTTTTATGAAAGTCTTCAAAACATGGATGTTTCGAAGACAAACAATAGAAATGAACCTATTGATATGCAACGGAAGGTAGACTACACTAGACATACCATAGTCATGTAAGCAACGAAGTGAAAGCACGATGACTATAAGCAGCTAGGTAGATTGGATCGGGATGGAAGATAGTATGAAGCCAAACAGACAACAGTCTTCACACAGTGAAGTCAAATAGATAAGGCAAGTAGCAAAGACTTCACGAAGACAAACTGTAAGTAAGGCAAGAGAGGTAGGATAGAACCAGTTGCTCGGAGAGGACAAGGGATTTGTTCGACCAGCTCCAGTTGCTATGACAACTGTACGTCTGGTTAGGGAGGCTGAGATTCAACTCAGAAGACCGCGTCTTCACCTTATTCCCCTTGAACTAAGAACACTTAGTCCTCGCCCAATCACTCTGGTAAGTCTTCAAGGGAGACTTTCAAACATTCATAGACTTCATTCACCGGCAATCCACAATGACTCTTGGATGCTCAGAACGCGACGCCTAACCGGCTGGAGGATTCACAGTCCTCAAGTGTAATAAGTCTTCAGATCACGCGGACAGAAAGACTTCAGTGATGCCTAACACTCTTTGGCTCTGGGTGTTTTGGGCTTTGTCCTCGCAAGGATTCTCTCTCAAAGGGTTCGGAGGTGGGTTGCTCTCAAACGACAAAAGCCGTGTACTAACTCTGAGCAGCCACCAATTTATGGTGTAGGGGGTGGGCTATTTATAGCCAGAAGGCAACCCGACCTGATTTGTCAAAAATGACCCTGGGTCACTAAGGAACTGACACGTGTCCAACGGTCAGATTTCGAACACACGCGGCAGCTTGACTTGGGCTACAAGTAAAGCTGACTCATCCAGCTCTGGATAAGATTTGCTCTCATTGTCTTCGCTCGAAGACATAGGATTTGGTTGAGCATCACATCAGTCGCTCTGACTTTGTTCACTTGGACCCCACTTAACAGTACGGTGGTTCATATGACTCAACAAAGAAGAAAAGGAAATTACAAAACAACTATGTCTTCGCACTCCATGGTCTTCATGCGATGTCTTCTAATGTCATAGTCTTCAATGTGAATGTCTTCACAGACCACCATTATCTTCAATGTCTTCACCATATTTTTAGGGGTCATCTCTGGTAGGTAAACTGAATCAATATGGAACTACTACCTGTGTTATTCTGCAAATTCTCACAAACACATTAGTCCCTCAACCAAGTTTGTCGTCAAAACTCCAAAACCAACTAGGGGGTGGCACTAGATGCACTTACAAGTAGCAAAGCTCGCGGTACATCAAGATCGTGCCAAATCAAGAACACGAGAGTATCATGTCACATATTTTGATTACATGTGATGTTCATCTTTTATGCATCTTATTTTTCTTAGTACGGCGGTAGCATTATAGGATGATCCCTTAACAAAATTTCAAGGTATACGTGGTCTCCCTGAGTATGCACCGTTGTGACAGTTCGTCGTGCTGAGACACCACGTGATGATCGGGTGTGATAGGCTCTACGTTCACATACAGCGGGTGCAAGACAGTTTTGCACATGCAGAATACTCAGGTTAAACTTGACCAGTCTGGCATGTACAGACACGGCCTCGGAGCACTGGAGACCGAAAGGTCAAACATGAATCATATAGTAGATATGATCAACATAGAGATGTTCATCATTGAAAACTACTCCACCTCACGTGATGATCAGACATGGTTTAGTTGATTTGGATCACTTATCATTTAGATGACTTGAGGAATGTCTATCTAAATGGGAGTTCTTAAGTAATTTGATTAATTGAACTTAATTTATCATGAACATAGTCTTAATAGTTTTTGCATATCTATGTTGTAGATCAATGACCCGTATTACCGTTTCCTTGAATTTTAATGTGTTTCTAGAGAAGGCTAAGTTGAAAGATGATCTTTTTCAACAACCTCTACTTTCGAGTCTTCACCAACAAGACCGTCTAGTTGGTGTGAACTGCAGGACGATCTCAGTTTGCTAGTCCTCCATGCGACCATGAGCAATGCAAACCCAGCAATATACTCCATCATCATCCCATAAATTTTTAACTTTATCAGATTGCAAATGCCGCCTACATAATTCCACTTTTAGCTTAGCAGCCATCGCCGCCAACGTTCCAGTGTTTGACCATCTCCTGAAATTTAATCAAGCAGTAATGTATGCTCATAATACGACTCGTTAACGAAACATGTTCAACATCACGCCAGATAGCAAACAAATTCAGGTTCAAATCACTTGAGTTTGATGAGTATATATATATAGCCAGAGCTAAATCACCAAGTTTGATGACTTTGCGCGAAATTACTGTTTCTTTTCAGATAGAAAAATCTCTACCGCCTATTGGGAAGAAAATGTTGTCCACCATTCAAGTTTACATCCAATCATTTAAATCACAGAACAGACGCAGGAACTGCAGCACTAGTAAAGTATACAGGACCAGGAGAGGCCCAGCAGCGGCATTATTATTCTCCCTCCACAGTTGGGCCTGAACAGAAGAGAGGCAATCCTTCCCTCGCAAACATCCAGTTTCTTCTCGTTATTTCTGGGACTCTGGCACCGGCGGACAACTAAGTACAGAAAAAATATGAGGAGCATTGACAGTTTGGTTTGCTTATAATCTCTTCAAACTCTTCTTCCTCGCATCCATCTTCTTCTTATCGACGGGGACTTTCACGGCCAGTGGCCCGTCCTTCCTGGGCGCTGCCGATGCTCCACCTGAGACAGCAGAAGGGGCAGCATTCCGATCCTGCGAATTCGGGCCAAATGCTTTTGTGCCGGTAGAGGTAGATATTGGCGCAAGAACAGTATGAGGCTGGCCCTTATTCAGAGCTGCCGTTGACTCAGAGATAGCTCCACTCTTGGACTTATTCTTGGGTCTGAGAGCATGGATACTGGTATATAGCCTGCATATGGAGCACAATGGCAAGATCAGTAACTAGCTAGAGCCGCACCAGATGTTTCGGTGAGAGGTCTGGTCTAACTTGCCACAAATGGTAGCAGTGGCATTCTAGGTGTTCGCATTGTTTGAATACACAATCCTAGTGCAATTTTGACCAATAAGTTGACAAAATGAAGTTGAAGATTACTGACCTTGCATGCCGTGCATACTCCTCGTAGTTCTCAAGCAGCAACTTCCCAGCTTGCTCATTGAGGGCAGATTCAGGAAATGGCTCAATCAGGAGGCATCTCACTACCTGTCAGCAAGCAATTTGTAGTAAGTCCACCACATCCTACGCAGGCAGTTCAAACTCCTTCCATAACCAAATACTAGAAAATGCTTACAAAACAAATCATGCACTACTCCAAAAACATGGGCTGTTGTGTGTTGGACTTGAAGCTTACCAGCAGAACATGCCTTAATCCAAGGCTAGGATTCCAATCCTTCTTCAATGTGTTAACACATATCTCACCGCTAGTTGCAATGTTTGGATGAAAAATTTTAGTCGTGAAAAATCCTGCAGAAACAAGGCCAACAGACTTTCAACTAATGCTCTACTTCAGGAACTAAACTAATGTATGGATGACAATGGAAGTCTGACAAGATGTCTACCTTTTGGAGGTGACTGAGGGAAGTCCCGAGATAATATTAGCTTCATCCGGAATATTCCATTCTCATATGGAGTTCCAGCTGTACATGCCCAGGTTCAGGTTTAATAAGAATACAACATCAGAAAGTGCCCAGGTTCAGGTTTAATAAGAATACAATATCAGAAAGTAGTGTAATAGGAAAGAAACGCTGCGTTAGGACTTGATGTTCTTTTTAATGTACAAAGCCAGAAACCCAGCAAGCTCCATCAGATACTTGACTAGTGATGAATAAAAAATGTGAAGGAAAGACAAGAATAGATAAAGGCACCATCATGCAAGTAGCAGAGCATTAGCACATAACTTATTACTGCAAAGCACACAAGACGGGAGGTGTAAAGCAATGTATTATATCCTGACAGAATCTTACCAGGGCCCTCAATATCAGCAAAAATAGTGGCGAAGTCATCGTCATTAACAATAACTTTGATCCCTTCTGGAGGTGAGTCGTCAAGATTCTTCAGTTCTTTAGCCAATTGCCTGATGACGGTTGGTGGGAGGTTCTCGTTGGTCGCCTTCAGTGACATGAATAGACCATTAGAATCATGGAAGACAGCATATAACTCTTTCTCATATATGTTCTCTTGAACACTCAAATCTGAAAAAAGTTATCTCACCATGGAAGCCATAATAGCAGACAGCTTTAAGGTGCTCGCTTGCTGCTGACTTATTTTTGGATGTACCCTTTAATGACAACAAAGCCTCAGGACTATGCAAAATTTGTGATCACCAAATTGAACCTACAAGAAAAAGCATGTAGGAGATTAGATAGAATGAATAGATAAAATGTTCTGCTTTCGTAACGGCATATCTTGGTAAGAAAAAGGAGCACCTTACTTGAACTGTATTACTACAATTATTGTTGTGTGGATGTCCATAAACTTACCAAACATCATCTCAAACATTCAGATTACGAACAACCGCTATAAGTAACGATTTAATGCCACCACATGATATATGACTAATGCCTGCAAGTGATGATTTATGCCCCAAGTTATTGCAGTAGTCTACGAAGATGCCATTTATGCAGCCTACTTTATTCTCTCTAACTACCATGCCCGTTTGAACACAGAAAAAAATTATTCCAGTTCGATAAAAAACTCGACCAACAAGCACTAGCATCCGTGGCCTTTTTATATTTATTAAAAGAGACAACTGAGCACCACGGGGAGTACATGCCTCGAACCCGGGTGGGCTGAGTGAGCACAGAGGCTGTTAGCCAACCGCGCCACCATCAGTTCTTAATGATTCCAACTACAAATATCACCTTTTATCCATTATTCCTGGCACCGTATATATGCAAGTAAGCATGTGCTCGCACGCGCTAGGCGCACGTGTGGACGATATGCCAGTAACTTAATGCTGCTAAACGATGGTTCTGCACGTGCAAATGGAACATCAGTAACTTAATGCTGCTAAACATCGGTGCTGCACGTGTGAATGATACATTGGTAACTTCATGCTGTTATCATAAGTGTGTCAATTTAATACAGAGATATTTGAATTTATTCAAAAAGGAACCATCAACTTCTGCACCCCCTGTTTTCCCCGCCATCCGTACACGTCGCCATGACGGCGCGCGCCACACCCCCTTCCCGCCAATGTGCTATCCTTCACGCGACTCCAGACACAAGAACACACGACGATTGCCACATCCAGGGGCTGTTGCCATTTGATCTTGTGTTCCTGCATGATCACAGGACCCAGATGGACCTTCCTAATTCCTAACAAACAACACAGGCGTTGTGCATCTACTCGGCGTACAAGAACAAGGACGACAACGGAACGCCCCACCCAGAATTCACTGAGATGTCTCCGCTAATGAACGAGATCGGATCGGATTAGATACAAGACCAATCGGTCCGAGCAGGAAACCAGCGTCTCCTACCCACCCTACCACCACCAGGACGCGAAGTGAAACACCAGCGTGGAACCGAACGACACATCCATCCTGCAAGGCAACTCGACTTCTCATCGCTTACCGGGTACCGGACAAGGCGTCGGAGGAGAGCGCCGCTGGCCGGATCCGCCACGGGGGGGTCGGGAAGGGGTCGGTCGGCCGGGTGCCGCGGCGGGGAGGGGAGGGGAGAGGGAGAGGGCGAGCGGTTGAGACGGTGGGGAGGGCTTGGGGGGAGGATTGCGGCGAGGAGCGGCCGGCGGCGGTGGGGTGCTCGTCGGCGGGGGAAACCCTAGGCTTCCGATTTGGGGGAGGCGGGGCTGGGAGGGGGGAGAAGGAGGCAAGTTAAAAAGTGATTGGGATTTGAGAGGGACTCGACAGCCGACCGGGATAGATACGACCGTTGACGTCTTGTGGGCCCCGACCGGGCTGGCCCAGGAGCCCGTGCGTGTCCCGGCCCGTCTCTGCCGTTCGAGGGCCAGGACCCACGAGCACGAGGGACTGTGCTAAAAAAACGAGCACGAGGGATTTTTCTTCTTAAAAAAAACGAGCACGAGGGACTGGGCGTCACGTCGCCGGCCAAAGCATTTTTGAACAGCGTGAGGGGTTGGCATTTGCGAAAGTTGCAAGTTTTAATATCTGGCTCGGTATCTTAAAGGTGCTTACAGGGGTAGCGTGCGTGCATGTGTGCGTTCATAGAGGTGAGTTTATATGCGTGTATGTGAGCATCTGCAATTGTATTGTGTTAAAAAAAACACCCGCCCTTGGTACTTCACCTAGGCAGTTTTCCAAAGCCTTTCGAAAGTTTTCCGACCTCTTATCCACCAGAAGATTTGTTACCCTAACCCAAGTTTGAATAGTGTTAAACACCATCTCGAACGGACTTGTGTTTCCATCATTATCTTTCAACATGCTTCAGACCCCTTCGTTGTTGTAGTGAACCACAAAAACATTGGCATTGATGTCTTTTAGTCGAGCATCATGGTGCCGACCTCACGATCTTTGCATAGCCCTTTCTAACCGTCGTCGCGCGCCCCGCCCCGCTGAAAGGCTTGTTGCATCCTCCAAAGATTTGCCATCAATCGGAGATCTTGGGGACTCCATGCTTCTGGATACATCCACCGTTTTCTTCGGAGTTAGTCACACCTTGTCCTGCCCCGTGCCTCCATTGATATCCCGTGCAGAGAGGAGAACACCTACCAGCTAGTGCTGGTGCCACACACGCCGTACTCTCTACACCACGGATAAAACCACTCACATAGGAGAAACCTTAACCCTAGGCGTTGCATATCGATCGCCCGGACAAACGCCTCTCAGTTGCCGCGAGGTTTAACCCAGGATGGATCCACGTTGCTGGATGATCTTGACACAATAATTACTTAGACCTAAGGGCAACTTCAACCACAACCCACAAAAATCCTTCCACGTCCGTTCGCGGACAGTGGGGACCAGTCTGCGGACACAGACGCCGGAGGACACCATCCAACCGTAGCCGCATACCTTTTCACAACAATTTAACCCAACCGAAAGAAAATCGTGCAAACACGGCCGGATTTCATATAAACATGACGGATTTTATATAAAAATGCCGGATTTTCATATAAAAATGACGAATTTCACTACATTTACATTAATGGTGCTAGTCCAGCCCTGTAAGTATAACAATACCTAATTTAAATCTCCGCCCACAGATCCCTTTGTCTTCCTCATGTCCGCAGCCCGATCACCAGACTGCCAGGAGCCCCGGAGGTATATGCTTCGACGCAAAGGACAACTCGCTTCCCCACCACTCATCCGAGTGGAACCCCCCCACTACTAGGAAAAGCCTAGTAACTGTTGGAAATATGCCCTAGAGGCAATAATAAAAGGATTATTATTATATTTCCTTGTTCATGATAATTGTCTTTTATTCATGCTATAATTGTATTATCCGGAAATCATAATACACGTGTGAATACATAGACCACAATATGTCCCTAGTGAGCCTCTAGTTGACTAGCTCGTTGATCAACAGATAGTCATGGTTTCCTGACTATGTACATTGGATGTCATTGATAACGGGATCACATCATTAGGAGAATGATGTGATGGACAAGACCCAATCCTAAGCATAGCACAAGATCGTGTAGTTCGTTTTGCTAGAGCTTTTCCAATGTCAAGTATCTTTTCCTTAGACCATGACATCTTTAACTCCCGGATACCGTAGGAGTGCTTTGGGTGTACCAAACGTCACAACGTAACTGGGTGGCTATAAAGGTGCACTACAGGTATCTCCGAAAGTGTCTGTTGGGTTGAGACGGATCGAGACTGGGATTTGTCACTCCGTATGACGGAGAGGTATCTCTGGGCCCACTCGGTAATGCATCATCATAATGAGCTCAAAGTGACCAAGTGTCTGGTCCCGGGATCATGCATTACGGTACGAGTAAAGTGACTTGCCGGTAACGAGATTGAACGAGGTATTGGGATACCGACGATCGAATCTCGGGCAAGTAACATACCGATTGACAAAGGAAATTGTATACGGGGTTGCTTAAATCCTCGACATCGTGGTTCATCCGATGAGATCATCGAGGAGTATGTGGGAGCCAATGTGGGTATCCAGATCCCGTTGTTGGTTATTGACCGGAGAGCCGTCTCGGTCATGTCTACATGTCTCCCGAACCCGTAGGGTCTACACACTTAAGGTTCGGTGACGCTAGGGTTGTAAAGATATTAGTATGCAGCAAACCGAAAGTTGTTAGGAGTCCCGGATGAGATATCGGACGTCACGAGGAGTTCCGGAATGGTCCGGAGGTAAAGAATTATATATGGGAAGTCGAGTTTCGGCCATCGGGAAAGTTTCGGGGTTCACCGGTATTGTACCAGGACCACTGGAAGGGTCCCGGGGGTCCACCGGGTGGGGCCACCCATCCCGAAGGGCCCCATGGGCTGAAGTGGGATGGGAACCAGCCCCTGGTGGGCTGGTGCGCCCCCCTGGCCCCCCCTCTGCGCCTAGGGTTGGGAACCCTAGGGGAGGGGGCGCCTCCACTTGCCTTGGGGGGCAAGTCTTCCCCTTGGCCACCGCCCCCCTGGGGTCCCTATATAAAGAGGGGGGGTGGGAGGGCAGCCGCACCCTGACACCTGGCGCCTCCCTTCCCCCTTGCTACACCTCTTCCTCCCGTAGTCGCTTGGCGAAGCCCTGCCGGATCCCTGCTGCATCCACCACCACGCCGTCGTGCTGCTGGATCTTCATCAACCTCTCCTTCCCCCTTGCTGGATCAAGAAGGAGGAGACATCATGCTGACCGTACGTGTGTTGAATGTGGAGGTGCCGTCCGTTCGGCGCTAGGATATCCGGTAATTTGGATCACGACGAGTACGACTCCCTCAACCCCGTTCTCTTGGACGCTTCCGCTCGTGATCAACAAGGGTATGTAGATGCACTCCTCTCTCTCGTTGCTAGATGAACTCATAGATTGATCTTGGTGAACGTAGGAATTTTTTTATTTTATGCAACGTTCCCCAACAGTGGTATCAGAGCCAGGTTTATGCGTAGTTCTCTATTGCACGAGTAGAACACAAATCTGTTCTGGGCGTAGATGTTGTCAACTTTCTTGCCACTACTAGTCTAATTTTGCTTCAGTGGTATTGTGGGATGAAGCGGCCCGGACCGACCTTACACGTACGCTTACGTGAGATAGGTTCCACCGACTGACATGCACTAGTTGCATAAGGTGGCTAGCGGGTGTCT